AAACACCAATATTTAGATTAAAATTACCACTTGATTAAATTAATTTTCATTCTGCAGTCTAGTATCCAGAAGATACTGTGAAACATCATCTTCTTTGGATAAACTCTGCTTCTCCAACTAGCTTACATATAATATTCACTTAATTGGAAAAGTTTTTTTCTGAAATTAACTCTTGTAACTCTTCCTTGCTGTTGGGTAATAAACAAAAAATGTTTGCCCTTTCTGCCGCCTTTTCCTTAAAATCACTACTGAGAGTAGAGTTCATCATTCCTGTTTTAGAATTTAAAGTCAGATTTTAAAACCTGAACAAGCCACCACTGCTTATTCACAGGGAAGAAACAAGTAGGTCCTGACTAACGATTCAGCTCATCTAGAGATAGCTGGGAAGCACTGGCCTTCAAAGATGTTACTCCCCATACAGGCTACATAAGGGAGCCTTCTAAGACTGCATGCCTCAAGTTCAGTGAGGTTATTCCAATCCTAGAGATCTGACTGCTTTTGTTAACATTAGAACTAGTGAAACAGTAAAAATTTTAGAAGGCACAGTTTACTGCTGTCATACATCCAGACACAGAACAAGAAGCAAAAAAAAAAAAAAAAAAAAAAACAGATTTATTTTTGTGCACAGGGTGAGAAAATTTCGCTTTAGTGCATGTAAAACCACTGTGATTGCTTTTTACCTTTTGCTCACTAAACACTACAGAAGACTTAAAATCTGCATGCTGGTCTCCAAATTTAAAAGGAAAATGATGAATACGATTTGTTTCTAAGAAATTCTAAAATGTGACATATATATTTTCTATGTATTTTTCAGGCACCCCTACAATTCATCAATATACTGGCAAGTTTGTTATTGTATTACTCAGTTTTTACTTGAATATTTAAACTGTACCTATAATGAGCGGAGCCAGGGTAAGAAACTTTTTAGGTTAAATACTAAGAAATGAACGAACCTGGGACACCTTTTCATTTGCAGCCTTCATCTCCATATACTTAACTTGATTTTCCTCAGTCATGTCCTTTATTATGTCATCTGCTGCAACTTTTTCACGTTCGATATCTTCTTCCACGGCTTGAATTAACTTTTCTGTGCTGTAAGAATAGCACACATTTGTGACTTTTAGAAGTCTCTTTCTACTACTATTTTTCCAACCCCACTGATGTAAAAAGTAGGAGAAGACACATTACAAAGTAGTACCTTTACCTCTAATAAGTCTCTAGCTTTTAATGACAGGGACTCTGGGCTAGATACCTCAATATCTCTATGAGACCAGAAATGATTGACTTTGCTGTTATGCATTGTCTCTGGTAGTTGTGTTCTGAAAGAAAGTTAAAGCTCAGTGCTTTTTTAAGAGGCAATAAAAATGGTTGTCCCAAAGGATTCATTATTCAAGGGAGCACAACACTAGATTACGAGGGAAACTGGAATAGGATTGAGGCTTGGAAGTGACAAAACATTTGAGATACTAAGTAAAAAAATCGAGGCATCAACACAAAAGAGAGCTACTGAAGTAAAAAGGTTTCTACTCATCTACATAGTTGAGAATGGAGAATGAGAGGAAGGCAAATCCTTTTCCAGTTTCAAGCTATACACTGGGTAGAATGAAGCCTGCAGAATGAGCACCATTAGGAGAAAAAATTACAGGACACAATGTTTGTGTATCACGATAATGTCTTTGTAAATATGCATATAAACATGGTTTCTGATCAGAACAAGTATCTTCCTTTTCTTCTTAGGGATTGCTTCCTGACTTACAGTCCATGTCCTTAAATGCTTGTAATTTTTATAAATATGAACTTGATCTATAACACTCCATAGGTTGTTGGTTTTTGTTTTCTTTTCTTCGATGCTTCTAAACAACAAGAACTTAACAAAGACTTAAGCAACTATTTAAGCACAGCTCTTTACCTCAGTATGCAAATCTTTCAAAAAATTCTTAATGTCCTGACAAATCACATTAAAAAAGTCCAAACTTTTATCCATCTCCAACATTTCTTTAATCGACAATAATCCACCTTGCTTGTAAATATCCAGTGGCATTTTAACTCAGTGCTTCCTATATGATCTGGAACTTGACACTTGAGCATACTACCATCAGGCTATCCTATTGGCTGCAGAACCAATTAAATTGAAGATGATTATACAAAATTACTCAACCTGGTCAATGTTTTGCTAAGATATTCCCGTTTCCTTATTTTTTTTACATGGCTTGCTTATTCATTAGGTACAAAGGTTGAAAAAAAACAAAGTGCTGTTACATGATACTATTTCTTGTCAGTGCAGTGAGAAGTCTGTGTGGGTATATGGTGCTCCAAGAAGCAACAGAAAGGTAAGACACTTGGCACATCTTTTTCAAAATGTAGGCAAAGGTTTTCTTTTAAAGCTTTTCTGCTAGACTGGAAACAAATGTATCTTGACATACATTAAAAGTTCAGGAATTGCTACGAACCTTGTACGTACGAAGTTGTTAATTGTGCTTCAGTAAAAAGCTGGAGTACAGCCTGATTCACTTCTAAAAAGCAGAGTGCCTGATTATACAGACCTCATTGCCTCCCAGATCTGCAGTTTTCTTTACATATGTAACAAAAGCAACAGGAGTTACATTACCACTGAATGGTACAAGTTGCACAGAATCCTCCAAGGAAATCTTCTGAATAAAACATTTTGGAGTTGAAGTAACAAGGACATGTCAGGGTTCTATCTATGTGTTACTAGGCTCAGTTTCTTTCCAAAATAATCCCCTTAAGCAGCAATTCTGGTTTTACTGAAAAGCTGCACTGCAATTAAAATCATAGATCCTTCCTTGTTCTTCGGTTGCTTACAACTGTTCCCCCGTATGCAGGAAATCAACTTTGTAAGAAAAACTCCAAGTTTTCAAAGAGATATTAAAGAATGGGGACTGCATTTTGACTTGGACATATTTGCAGTGAATTTTTAGACAGAAAAATGATTTTTCCTGTTAATGGCATCCCGGTTACTCAGATACGTCAACTCTTTCCTTGAACTTATGAAAAACATTTAAATTAATTTTCATTGTTAACTTGATATTAACTTACAAACTGAGTAACTATTAAAATAATATCCAATATTTTTTCCCCACTCTATTAATGACAGCATTTTTTTTTTTTTATCTGATACGATAATGCTATTAATCGTATTTCTAGATGCCATGGTTAATGTCTGCTCTGTTTCTGAGCATCTTTGAAGAGGTATCTCTGAAGTCCAAGTGTGCCATTAAGTTCCAGCTTACATGCAGTTGATATGGGGAGTTTTCAAAAACCCCCGCATGTTTTCCACTAGTAATACACAAACTGCCTCCAAAAAGTATTCAAGACACCAGTACAGCCTTTGACTACAGCAGTTCCTAATACAGCAACATTCTACCACTGCTGTTACTAGTACCCCTCATCCCTACCACTTACTGTGTCCTTTTGTGTTCGATGCAAACTTCCAATAAGAGCAAAAATACACAGTGGTTCAGAGTAGCATGCATTCCTCTTTTGAGGAAGTCAAAGAAGTGTACACAATGATTCAGATAAGTGAACGAAGCTACTCCTCAGAGACACAAACCCACAAAAGCAATCAGATGTGACCAATTGGCCTGTGACTTCATCTACTCCCAACTTATCAAAGGCTTGTGGCACTCTTTTTAAGGATTGATATATTTCTTTTTTCTTTTTATGGCTGCCTACATTTACTATTCTTCCTTATTTGTGCAACTGAGCTTCCTTAAGTAGATTGGACCCTGCAAAATTCAGTGAAAACTCTGCAAGAAGCACTTTAAGCAAATATCTCAATTCTTGTTTTTTTGATCTTCTTTAATCTAGAAGATTGAAATGAAGGAAGGAGATACTGAGGTTTCACTCAGTCTATTACCTTTTCTCCATGAGACTCCACACACACAAAAGACTAAAAACATCACAAAAGGGATAATCTATTCTTAATCTATAATCTATTCTTATTCTAAAATTCTACTTCAAATCTTGCATAAACGTGGATCACTTTAACTTGTAAAGTCAAGATTTAACACTCCTGCTGAGTAGATCTTGCAAGTTATGGCCAGGTAAAACAAGAAAATGGATATGTTACACATTTTCTGAGAGAAGTTAACACTGCAGAGAATATTTATCAAAAATATTCCCGACTCTCAAAAAATATGGAACAAATCTATACAAAAACTCCAGCAGAAGAGAATGAAGCATGCTTCCTTAGCAACAACCATGCCTTCATAAAACAAAAGGACACTACTTATGCCATATATTATACTATGGATAACAAAGAGATTAGAAGATCTAATCATTAAAAATTCACAAAAAAACTATGAATTCATATAAGAATATATGAGCTATCTGTCCAAATAAACCAAATACAGCATTCTGCCTCAATCAGAGGAAACAAAAGAAATTGGGCATGAGGGCATGAAAGCCTGAATACTTTTTTTCAGTCGATTCCTATTGTAGTCCTCCAGTACCCATAACTGCTTTAAAGGGATATTAATAAGTATACATCAGCCTATTCCATTTGTGGATCTGTTGTCTATTAACCTTCAGATCAAACCATTTTCTGTCTGCTGGTACTGCCCACTGGATTTTAGATCTGCCCCAATCCAGGGAAAGCTCAATGCATTACAGCTGATAACATGTTTTTACTCTTAATTTTACATTTTACAGTACCTTTGTAAATCAAAATGTACTGAGTTACTTATTCATATGTTAAACTACTACTACACTGATATCTTCACCAAGCGGGTGGTGAGGTGCTGGCACAGGCTGCCCAGAGAGGTTGTGGATGTCCCATCCGTGGAGGTGTTCAGGGTCAGGTTAGATGAGGCCTTGGGCAACCTGATCCAGGACTCAATTTAGCAGTTGGCAACCCTGCCTTTGGCAGGGGATTGGAACCCAATGATCCTGGATTCCAACCCATGCCACTGCATGATTCCATGATTCTGATCTCAATATTGAAAAGTGTTGTTTTTTACCAGACTCTGAAGATGAAAATGTCCTGGCTTATAATCTGGGCTGGAATGCTGCTTTGGAATCAAGTCACTGCTGACTGCAACATTAGTTCTCAAACTGTAAGTTATGTTTAAGTCATCCAAGTTTGCTGTGAAATAGGAATTAGCTCCTGGAAATCATATTAAGTGGTGGAGCAACACTAAAACATGTATATATTGGTCAAATCTCTCTCTGCCACTTTGGGACAGGCCTAAATCAGAACAGGACAAGACCAATGACTGCTCAAGTGTAAGCAAGATTGTGCCAAAACTTGCCTAAGTCAGGATCAAATGTGTGTAACATATATTAAAGTACTCCTTCTAATATTCTTTAAGATATTATAAGATATTATTTCAAACACTATTTTTCCAAAATATTTGAAAAAAGAACTCCCAAAGGATATACACAGTACAGAACAGACCCTTATCTAATTTGTTTTTAATAAAGTGAACTAGATACAGTCTGGTCTCAGCAGTAACAATTTGAATATAGACTAGAAGGAGAAACAACACAATCAATCTCTTCCTAGTAATCAGAATCTCATTTAAATCCAGTGCAAGTACCCTGCCAACAAAGCTGCAGTAATGCATTAGTAACTGCAGTAAGCTGCAGTGATGCGTTAGGAAATCTACTTTTGTTCAGAGGAGAAAAATGTTTCAAGGTATAAACATTCTCAAACCTGAAAAGAGTACAGCAATGCTAAGCTTCAGCAGCGAAAAATCAAAATTAATTTAAATGCTATACATATAATAAAATTATGTGCTAAAGATGGTTGAAAGCCTGTTCCAAAGATGTTTTCAGTAGTAAGCATCGCTGTTCTAAAATAAAATGATACATTAGAAAAAGGTAATTTTAGTTAATTCTTAGACTTGAATCCACTTTCTCTGTGTCGCCTTTGCTTGGTGGTTTCTTGACGATGTGGTAAGGAATCCTTTTCTACACTGTCAGTCCTCACATCAGAATTTCAAAATAGCCCTATGAACTCCAAAATGGTATGCCAGATCAGTTCTATTTAGAACGATAACCACATAAGCCTTGCAACTCTATCAAAATTTAAGAACTAAGTGTCCTGACCATCAGATCCTTACACACTAACACAGCTCATTTCCCTGTATCATTAATCTACAAGAACGTTGTGGAAAACATTAACAAAACAGCATGTAGACCAGTAGAACTTTTCTTGCAAATGGCAGCCATTAAAAAGTATTCTTCTATTCCCATTAACAGTTATCACTGGAACATCTTCACTGGACATCTCTATTGTATTTTAATTGTTGATACTATCTTTTTTCAACAGGTCATTTGTGATGAGTCTGGAAAGAACCTCTCTAGCATCCCCACTGATTTGTTGCAAAATGTTACTGAACTAAATCTCAAAAATAATAAAATTACTTTAAAACACAATGACAAAAACATTCTTATAAGGCTTCCTAACCTCACTAAGCTTCATCTGAATGAAAACATGATTACTGTACTGCATAATAACAGCTTCTACAATTTGACAAAACTTGTAATTCTGGATATCAGCAATAATTACATTAATACAGTTCATCAAGCAGCATTTGCAGGATTATATCAACTGATAGTGCTGAATCTTTCCTATAACAGGATTACTCAATTAGATTCAGATGTATTTTCTTCTCTAAAAAATCTAAGAGTTTTGAATCTGCAGAATAACCTTTTGGAATCTTTTCATATAAAACCATCTTTTAAATTGACTACAATTACCTTAGATGGAAACCCATGGAACTGCTCCTGCAGCCTCCTTGATTTACAAATGTGGCTAACTGCTTCTAAAGTCACAATGGGTAAGTTCTCATAAGAGCAGCATTTCACACCTGTTTGCCTCAAACAGTCTTACCTTAGTTTTTTCCTGATCTTAATAAAATTCACCATCAACTTCTCTGTGTTTTAGTTATCACTGATTTTTTAAGATCTTAATGCCAGTTAGCTAACAGTATTTACAAACTATCTCTATTGCTCCTATTCACAGAAAATGAAAACAACACTACGTGTACATTCCCAAACATAAAACAAACAGTCTCTATCAAGACTGCAACTATTCAACTAGTTGACTGCGAAACTGAAAAACTTTCTGAAGAAACCACTATAACTTCCACCTATGCCATTAAGCATCAAAGCACAGTCTTTCTAACAGCTCTGACTTCAAACATCACTGGAAACAATGGAACACATGCAGGTAATACACTGTTGTTTCTCTTCACTGCTTGCAATCTGTTTTATTTGCTGTTTCGTAATTCATATTTATTTTCTTCATAATTCATATTCATTCATTTTACATTCCTACTACAGTTATTCTTTCATCAAAGCATTAGAACAAGTGAATTTTCAGGTTTTATTATAACTCAGTTATCCCCCTATCATCTTTTATGTGTTCTCAACCTAACTATTAAGAAATTCACACTAGAGTTCTTTCAGATATTACACATAAAGATAACTATTTTTTTTTCTTCTGTCTGTTTGAAAAGAACTTCCAGTTCTCGGCAAAAGCTGGACCTTCCTCGTGGGAGTGCTAGGGTTTGTCCTAAGCACTACACTCCTGATTTTCACTGCCATAAAATGCCCAACATGGTATCAGTATTTGATGAGCTACAGACACCGTCGTCTGGAAGAAAATGACCCTGAGATGTTTGTACAGGAGTTCTCAGCAGACATGAGTTCCTTTCCTGCAGTATCAGACACAGACAATGAGGATCCCATAGTAATATTTGACAAAACTAACAAATTTGAACCTGAGGAAGATGGATTTATTGAGGACAAATACATAGATACTTATGTAACTGAGCAGAGCTAATATCTTACGCAGTGGACAATGAACTGACTTTTCAATCTATTCAGCCTTCCACATTACACTATTTAAATACAGTACAAAGTGAACCTAAGCAGCCTTGCATCTCAAAAAATGTGTAACAATGTACTGCTGCACGAGTCATAAAGGTTAAAAATTTGGTCGTGTTCACATGTTAGTGCCACAACAAATATTTTGAAAAATGAAAGAATACTGATCATCCATGTTTTAGAAAAAACACTACAAATTATGGGAGGAAAAGAGCTTACTGTACACTGCCTGAGATGACAAAGTCCTTAAAAAGCAGGTTGTGAGCCTGATATAATTACCGACACTGTAAAGATGAAGAAGTCAGAGACAAAAAACTCCTTTTTTAAACATCTGAAATAGAACACAGTCAGACTGGGGACTGAACCCAAATCAATGGCATCATAGCTCAGTGGTTTAACAGGCAAAACAAATGTCTACAAATATTTACGCTGAATCAGTAGGCCAACTTAAATGTGCCTACATACAGTAAAATGATAACCAGCACTACTTATTTGACGCCTTTGTGCCTTAGTTCTTGATCAAACCAAGTCTCTGCATACTTTAACACTTAGACTGTACTTAGAGATAAATCAGACATATTTATGAGCTGTTGAAAACCACAATAACAGTGCAAAACGAGTTATTAAATGCCAAATTGCTATTTTAAAACTCAATCTTTCAGCCTATCACCACACATACTGTTCTCAGGACTTAGAAATTCCTATTGCAAACAGCTCACTTCCTTTACATAAATCCTTACTCATTTATATATGCATACTTACTCCTTTATGTACAACCTACCAGGCAGGAATTGCTGTTCTAGTCTCCACTTATGCATACTTTTTCTCCTCTACTACTGCAACACAACATCCTCAATCTGCCATAAGTAGGTTTCCACAAACCAGGAGACTTCTATGCCATCCATCTTTTTCTGGATGAAAGGTAAGTTACTATCACAGCAGCTACTCAGAAGAATTTAAAGACAGAAACTCCAGCTTTGACTTGATACTGGTATATGATCTGAAAAGTGTTTGGATATCATTTGTTTCACAGATTAGACTGCTGACAAATTCCTGAATTCAGTAGCTTCTCCATTGTTCTCAGGTAAAGAGTTGGCAGTATTTGACAGGCATATACTTTGTGTACTTACGCTTGTTTTTCTGTGAAAATTTTATCCACACTTTGAGCATCTCGGTCATTCTGAACTTTTAACTAGAAAAAAAAGAAAAAATATATATTTGAATGTAATATATAAGAAGAAAACATATTGTATGTACAAGTTCAAGGTTTTCTGTAATGGAGAAAGAAGCTGCTCAGAATGCAACAGAGAAAGGAAGAGCAAAGGCCTGCTGCTCTTGTTTTCATGCTGGCCTGAAGAAACAGTTTCTGAAATTCCAGTCTTCCACTGCACCTCTGTGTTTGAAAAACAAGTGCAATCAAGGCTGTAGCAAACCAATTTGCAAACTATTACTATGGCATTCATTAGTAAAATAGTGTTTAAGCCCATAGAATGCAAATCTAACAGAGCACTCTTCCCTTTGTGTCACAGACAATGAGACTTTATTTTTCAATGAAACCTGGAAAAAAAAAAAAAAATTGGCCAAGAAACATAGGTGGTTTTTCAAGCTACCAAAATAACACAAAAAGTAATCTCAAGAAATGGAAAATGCCTAATGCTTTTAAGGCACTTGTATAAATTGTCTCACTTTCTTGGAAAATTAAGAATATTAGAAAGAACAAAGCTGATTGATTCTGTCACTGGCCACATCACAGACTTCACTGGAGTTATTTAAAAGTCAGAAAACAGAAGAGAACTAAAATTTCTAGAGCATTAGGAAGCTTCAAGTTGCAGGGCAGACAACTGAATTTGCCTTTCATCAGGCATAGTGTTCTATGGTTTTTGGTCAGTAACACTTGCAATTTCACTTGGGAACACAGCCTTCTCAAATTTAAGACACATTCACTATCATCACAGAAGGACTATCATCTGTCCATACTTTGGACACTTGTCTCACTGCACACACGTGATGTTGCCAAGATTTCGGTCCAATTTAAACTGGAGAAGAAAGTATACAATGTAAATTAGTACCGTGCTTTTCTATATATGTAATGTGTTCAAAGCACAGATATCTAATATATACCATTTCATTGATTAAATATAGCAAATATCCTAATCCTTACCAAATTGTATTCACGAATCACTTCTGCTATGTCTGCATTGGTGTTAAGTAGATCCACAACCTGAAAATAGACAGAATTCCAACTTGTAAGATTTCTCATTTATTAAAAAGACAACAATAATTACACACACACAAAAATATTCAGAAAAATCATAAAGCATTTGTGAAAATACAGTATTTAACTATTAATGCAAACAGAAAAACATTTGAATTTTAAATCTGAACAGATTACATGCAGTTCATAGAAGTAATTCTCATTTAATATGGCTGTACAAACTCAAATATTATACAGCACACATTTCTTAACTGCATATGCAACAGCTTATCCTAACACATACTAAAACTTGTTTTGTTCTCTTTAGCTTTTACTTTTTCCTCTTCTGGTAACTGAATAAACTCATCATTATTAACTACTACACTTTTAAGGAGAAACAGCAGTGAAAAAAGAAGTTGAAGCAAAGAAAAATCAGTAGCAAACAAAGGAAAGAAGGGCTAAGTGTGTTTTCAGTGTCAAAAGCTGAATGTAGCATACCATGTTGTAGTCTTCTAGCTGACCTTGCCACTCTTTGATTTCACCAGCTAAAGCCTCTGCCCTGAATACGAAACAAGAAGCCAAACTTAAAACAGGAAGTGTTACATAATAAAAATGAAATAATAAAAAGAAAGATTAATTTAATGGTTCTTTGAAGCCTGCACAGTAGCCTGGTGACTGAGAAAGTTAACTTCACATTAGTTACCACAGAGCTCACCTTCTCTCATATGACAAATAAGCAGATTTCTCTTGCTTGTACATTTTTATTTCTTCCTGCAGCTTGTTAATTTCTGATGTGAGTTCACTGGTTTTGCTTCTGCAAAAAATAAAATTAAATTACATTTAAATACACAATTAAAACAGTGAAAAACAAGATTTTACTCCATGCGTCGCGGAAAAACTATCTTTCTCACACAGTACCATGTCTCCAATGAACTATTTCTAAGAAAAGCTAGATAAATAAAGAAAAATTAAAGCAGCTCTGCCAGATAAAGTCATAAGCAAATATTAGAAAACCTGGCTATGAAATTTAATGTTTTCATTATTTTTTTGTTCTGGTTGAAACAGTCATGAATGTTTCTGAAATGCACCAAAAAAATCATAGCATCCTTTCACAGAATATGGATATTATCCATATGAAAAAAATCAACACTACCTTTCAGGGCTGATCATGCAATCCTGTAATATAATCTGCTGACAAAGCAGCATGTGCTTTTATCAGTGCCACCTAAAAGTACAAGCTAGAAGTATACACTAAAATGTGTGATTCTACCTCTTACAACTGAAGCTAACTGAAGACCCATTAAATTACATTAAATGACACAGGTGGAAGCTCAAAAATCACTGATGCTTCTGTAACAAATGCTGTGGGAAATAAATGAACTTAGCTAGCCTACAAACAAAATGTCTAAGAAATGTTCTACTTGGATGCAAGCATAACTTTCCTCTCCTGCTACAAACTACCAGCAAAATGACTTTCATGTCTCAGACAGGACAGATTTTATTATCAGTTAACACCAGTTATCCCACACTACTGTTAAGCATAACAGATGGGAAGAGAGGGAAAAGAGCTTTACACCTTTTGCACTTTGAGTTTAAGGCATACCTCAGCAGTCCAAGATAATAAGTTCTATCCATTATCTGTCTCTGAGGACCTGGCAGAGGAGAATAAAATGACATTTCACTATCCAATAACTCATTCTGATTTAGTAATTTGCAGATTTTACACACAGAGAACTGTCATCTTCTCAGTGTTCTTGAATAGATTTTACTTCACTGAAACAAATGAAAGCAGAAATTCCTTTCAGAATGTTGTGTAGATACAAAATACTTTTTCAGCTATGTTGAACACTTTATTTACAAAGGTACATTGCAGAATCTTACTCTGCATCCCTGGAAGAAGATACAATTTATCCTATTGTTCCTTTTAAATTGTATTTAAATAGATTCAAAAGTCCTAAGCAAGCTCAGGCATTGAAAAGCCTTTGTCTACACTGACAGCCAAAATCAAAGGACAGGGTGTGCTTTAATTTTCCTCTCCTTCTCCTCCCTCCTTGTAGTCATATCAATTCACAATTTTTCACAGGTGTGTACACCTATGAAATATTTTCCTTTAAGGGCTCCCTTAAAATTTTTTCAGACGCCTTGATACCTATTTTCTACAGAAAAAAATACCTTTCATTCCAGTTTTCATTCCACTTAATCCCTGCTGTGTGACTGGGCGGTCTGCCACTTTAATGTGAGGTGACAAGATTCCACTTGCAGTTGAAGAACCAGCACGAGAACCAGGTCTTGATGTACTGGGAGGCATCTAGAAAAACAAAACAAAATCCCACCAAAAAAACCCAACTCTGAGTTATGAATTTTTTATCTTCATGCAATCACCAAAGCAATTACAAACTTAAGAGTTAGTCTCTAAAATCTTCATATAAGAATCTTTCAGTGTCTATACCTCTTCAGCTAAATAGAGCTTCAGTCAAACATCTGCTGCAGAAAGGTCAGAGATTGCTTTTGAGGAGTTAATCACTGTGGTTTGTGAATGACACTGATACTATCCTGATTTCCCAGATGAACTCATGATGCAAGACCTCACTGACCTCTTTCCATCAAAATTACAAAGAAGCACTCTTTACTGAATGAAAATCTTTCAATTCTTCCTGAGAAAATATCACAGAATCATACAATCATAAAACATCCTGATGATCACCAAGTCCCAACTCCCGACTCTGCACAGCACCACCCAAAAATCAGACCACATGTCTGTGAGCACTGTCCAGAATCATCCTGAACTCTGTCAGCTTGGTGCCTTGACCACTGTCTTGGGGAAGCTGTTCCAGTACCTGGCATCCTCCTGATATCCAAACAGACCTTTCCCTGACACAGCTCTGAGCCATTCCCTCAAGTCCTGTTGCTGGCACCAGAAAGCAGCTTCCCATGAAGAGCCGTAAGCTGCCATGAGGCCTCCCCTCAGGCTCCTCTGCCCCGAGTTTAACAAATTGAGGAGCCACAGCCTCTCCTCACACCTCTAGTCCTCTAAACCCAACACCATCTTTGCAGTTTCTCTCTGGACACTCTCTAAAACTTTCACATCCTTTTTGTACTGCGGCACCAAAACTTGACACAGTACTCAAGGTGAGTGCAGGCACTGAAGACACTAGTGCAGGATAGAGTGGGACAGTTCTTACCATCACCCGAATGGCAGTCTCTGGATATAGTTGGCCTTCCTGGCTTCCTGGGCACAGTGCTGACTTGTGTACAGCCTGCTATGATCAGGACCCCATATGTTCTTCAGACACTTTCCAGTGTCTCATCCCCTCCATCCGTATATACACATACAGTCTTTATAGCTAGGGTTGCATCTTTCCAAGTACAGAAACTGGCACTTGCTCTTATTAAACTTCACGCAGTTGGTGATACCCTTATTTGTCTAAATTTCTCTGCAAGGCCTCTCTGTCCTTGACAGAGTCAACAGCTCCTCCCAAGTCAGTATCACCAGCAAACTTGCTCCAAACACCTTCTAGTCCTACATCTAATCCATTTATGAAGACGTTAAAGCGAACTCACCCTAAAATGGAGGCTGGGGATCCCCACTACTGACCAGGCACCAGATTGATGCAACCCCATTTACTATAACCATTCTACAGTATTATGCTTTTCGTTTATCCCTCCTGAAAAATTCTGAAAGTCTGAGTAACAAGTAACGATACCCCAGTTAACTTTATTTTTTTTTTTCTTTTCACATACCCCTGTTCCTATCCTGGCTGCTGATGGAACCCTTGCTGCAGAGGACGGCCTTGCTGGCAGCCCTACTCCTGCTCTCGAAGGAGGACGGCCTATGGGAGTTCTGTGGCCGCTCGCCATGCCTGTTTCCTTTTGAACTTCTCCCTGGAAAGAAGGATAAGCAACAGTCTTTTCACAACGACCACAGAACAACTCGCTTAAATTTCATTCAACTTTTTTTACATTTCCTCCGAATCCCCCAAAGCAGCTGCCCTTTCGGAAGCGGGGCACAAAGCAAGACCGTGCTCAGAGCGGACCGAGTGGGCACAGACCTGTTCCCACACTGCGGAAGCCCCCTCTCCTCCGCCCCGCGCAGCTACGACGCCTCCTCAGGCCACGGCGGCGGTATCTCAGCAACGGCTCGGCTGCGGCGCTCCGTTATCGCGATACCTAGAAACCTCATTCCCAACACCCGCTGTCAGCAGGGACTACATATCCCAGAGTGCATCGCGGCGGCGGAACTGCTGCTCTGTCTCTCTGCGGCGCGGTGCCTGCTGGGACTTGTAGTTCAGCTCCTCCCGCCGGCGTGTCTGGCGGCATTTCTTCCGGCGCGGTGCAAGGCAGCTTCCGGCAGTAGAGGCGGCGGCGGTTGGGACGGGTGCCGTGTCAGAACGGTCCCACCTTTCGTTATGGCGGGCGACGGCGGCGCCTACCGGCTTCGCTGCTCCCTGCTGGGCCACGAACAAGACGTGCGGGGCATAACGCGAAGTTTCTTCCCCGAGGGCGGCTTCGTGTCCGTATCTCGGGACCGGACTGCCAGGCTCTGGACGCCCGACGGGTGAGTGCTGGAGCGCTCCGCGGCCTGGCGGCCCTTGGCTGGACCGGGGGGTACAACGGGCGCGCACGGCTGGCTGAAGGATCGCTATGGGGAGAGGCGGCACTGCGGGCTGCTGCTGTTGTTGTTCTCAGGGTTATATCGGTGGTGGCTTCTGCGAACGTGGGAGGCTTTATCCGGCTGATGTTCAAACTGCTTTCTCCTCTCAGTCAGTGTAGAAGTAATCTTAGAAACGTCTCGGTTTTAACAGCGAAGCAGTGTACTTTGAACGTTTTTGAAGGATGTTTGTTTATTCTCCTTGGGCAGACAACACTGTGAGGCTGTCTTGAATGCTGTTCCTGGTTTCTGGGCTCCTCATTTCAAGGAAGGTGGAATTTTCTGGAGGGAGTCCAGCAAAGAGCCACTGGGATGATTTGGGGCCTGGAGGAAAGCCCTTCCTCTTACAGGGAAAGGCTGAGAAACCTTCGACTGCATGGCCTGGAGATTAGGGTGGATCTCATCCCTGTTTGTAAATATCTAAAGTGCAGGAATTGAATGGGTGGGGCCGGGTTCTTTTGGAGATGCCAAGCAGCAGGACAAGGGATAACAGGCACAAACTGGAACACAGCAAATTCTATGCAAATGTGAGGAAAAAGTTCTTTACTTTGAGGAGGACTGAGCAATGGAGCAAACTGCCCAGAGAGGTTGTGAAGTCTGCTTTGTCTGGAGTTGAAGTCGGGACCCATCTGGGTACTTTCCTGGGCAACCTAGCATAGGGAGCTTCCTTTACTGGTGAGGTTGGACTGGATGATCTACAGAAGTCCCTTTCCAGCCCCTACTACGATTGTGATTCTGCGTTGCTGCAAGGTATTTTCCTCAGGGAACAGGTCCTGCAAAGCAGTGTGAGATGATGATGAACGTGCTGGAGGCAGCAATGAGACCTGCTCAGCTGCTTCTGCTTTCAGTTCTGAGAGTACTATGTTCTGAAGTTATTTTCCAGTGGCTTTCTGTGAAGCAGAGATAGTTGACAGATTTGTGTCAGTGCTCACGTGTGTTTCAGTTGGTGTCTGTAGCCCTGCAGTTGAGATGGAGGACATCTAATTGCACTATGTGTGGTTTGTTGGGTCTCTTATCATTTCAAGAAGAAATTCCAAAATTGCGTAGAAATTTATTGCAAGAAAAGAAGTTTCATTCTGACCTCTGATGTCAAAGGGTTGCTAGAAGGAGGTAAGGGATGATTTACTCAGTAGCATTCTTTTTCTTTTGAGGTTGTGTTATAATGAAAAATCAAGGGTACTGGTTGAATTGGATGTAATGC